TTTTAAGTACTCTGTCCTGATTAAGGTATTACTTACAACGTGAATATTGCAGTGCCTAAGTGTTTACCAGGGTACTCATGCAGTACCCTAAAAAGTATGTTCCATGTGATCGTGTTAAACTAATACTATCTCAATGGAAGTAGGTTTTGGCTTAATTGGTACAGGTTTAGTTGCCTTTAATTTCACGATAAGAGGATTATTATTTATAAACAATCAGTGGTTACAGGTTTCATTTATTTATTTTATTTATTTTCATAAGGGACATCAACAGCATATATATCAACACATTCAAACAACTTATAGAGAGAATAACCTCCTAGACACATGCCAATTACAGATGTACACAACGTTCAATGACAAACATCTAGAGGCCAATTAAACCTATGAGTATATGGATATTAAAAGTAGAAAAAAAAGAAAAATTTTCAGAAAGAAAACTTTTCAGGTTTCTTTATTATCATCTACATTTCCAAAATACTTACTTAAAGAGGTTTCTTTAGCATTACGGATTTTGTATTTATCAGGTTTTTCTATTATCACTGGTTTCTTATTGCTATGAAGCCGTGGTAGCTTAATGGTTTGACCTATCGCCTACAAGACGAGGTTCGTGAGTTCGAATCCGAGCTTACACTTCTAAATTTGCAGAATTTGCGTGCTAAATTAAATTTGAAATTTAACATGAGCTTTTCGTTGAAGGAAGACATCGTAAGGAAACCTACAATCTCACATCAACGAATTAATCATATGAAGTTCTCAATCCGCATAGGGCCCGCGTGGAAACTACAACCCAAACCCTTTCATTGCCTGTGCCCAGCAGTAGGACTATAATATATACAGAGTTATTTCTAGAATACTAAAAACCTCGCACCACTATATTACTAACTTCATAAACAACAACATTTGTTCGATGACTTTTAACAGAACATAATAAATTTACCAAAAATAATCTTTTAAGTTTTTCTTGTACTATCTGACACAAAGCTCAGGTCCTGACTACAGATCATCAGATTTTTACTTTTACAAAAATAAAGATATTTAAATTGATCGCGGTAATAACTCTATGCAGAATGGGGGTGGAGTCGTAGCGGAGGAACTTGCGCGTATGAATTTATCTTACTTACCAAATATAGATCTAAAAAGTGTCAGATAGTACAAGAAAAACTTAAAAGATTATTTTTGGTAAATTTATTATGTTCTGTAAAAAGTCACGGAACAAAAGTTTTTGTTTATGATTTTATACTCCGTCCAACCCACACACCACATATTCCGTGGTCCAATCATTTATTTAACTTTTGACAGGTCGAATTCTAATTAATTAGTGAAGTCCTAATGTCCTAATGCGTTTCCGATTCGCTTTTTTTTATAACAATCGATTTTATTTATGAAGAAGACAAAAATATACTATCTGATTGGAATAGTGTTGTAGCGGTTGACAATTTGTGTACTCAAAAATTAATAATTAGTGTTAATGAGGATTCAAATGACGATTCCCGATATGGGGAAGAATCCGACGATTCATTATAATAAACAATAAGAATTTATTATAATTATTTATAATTTATGTTATTTCATTACAATTTATTAGACAATCTGCTGGCTCGATAAATATCGGAGCTAAAGAGTACGTCGCTTCACTAAAATTAAAAAATAAAAGAGTTCAGAAAGTATTTCATTTGTTTGACAATAGTTGTATGTCAATAATTACGAAACTTCGGTGGTATGCATATGTCAAAAGTTAAACAAATGATTGGACGGAGTATAGTAATATAGTCCTATGAGATTGTTAGTATTTTAAAAATAGCCCTGTATAGGTTATTATTTCATATTATTTTGCAGCGGTCTAACTTTTCATTCTCTCCCGATATTTCAAAGCGGTTTCACGTTTTAAAGTCACAGGGTGGATAGCAAGCGCCAGTTGACAGCTTTGAAGAGACATCTGCCTGCCCTCAAGTGATAATCATTTAAGGACCTCAGAGTCTTGTAATCCGCTTAATAAAAGGTTTCTAATTATCACGATGACTGACTTCAACAATATAGGCTTATTTTTACGATGCTAAGTAACGCAAGGGGCAAGTCGTCCGCCTGGTGATAAGCGACACACCCTATCCATAAAAATTGCCGAAGTTTGTTCTTTTTATCAAAATTATAAACATAACATAGTGTAAAGCAATTTTTTCCCGGATTCTGAAAGTTCTGAACGAGACAAAATGTAAAAAGGATGCACGATTTTTTGCTTTGATGCGCTTTTTAGATCGTAATGGATCATATGTATCAAAATCGATCCAAGGATCGGATCGTGTGCTCTTGAATCGATCTCACAAAAATCGTTTCAAAATTTGTAATAATTAAACACCTTTATTACATGGTTTAATTGCCATAATATTAATAATTTCTTTTTTTGGTTTTCACAGAGGCCAATCCTTTACTTTTACATCTAACTAAACATTTCTATAATAATGTCATATAACTTAATGTCCAAATCATTGTCCCTTCTTTATTTTCCGTTTCTATACTTCATGAAATCAATAATAAGATAAAACTTTTGTTTAAATTACGAATGCGATCTAAACGATTTGATTCGCCCTAATTTTGAATCGATTCACTTAAAAATCGCATTGAAATGAATAGATTAAAAAAATCGTTAGTTCGTATTCAATTGAATAGATCTTCATAAAAATCGAATCGAAATGTGCATCCCTATACCACACCCTTGTCTAACAAAGGCACATTTGCAAAATGACAACTTTTCAGGAGAGAGGTTTATAGACTCTTCCTATTAATTACTTTCGTAGAAACAATTGATCAGTCGATAGGTTTTTATGCTTAAATATCAGAGTTATAAAATTTCACAAACATATTTGTTTCACGTAGTCCGAGTTATTTTTATGACTGTTGACGTATTTGGTTTTAAAAGATCAGAGTGAACACGCATCTCAGCGAGCATGTACTATTAGCAAAGTTGAAGCGTTCCCGGCTACAAAACATTTGATTTACAAGCTGCGATTCTAGTTAGCCTCATCCCTTCTTCGTTAACCTTTTTTTGATAATCTTTTGTTTATATTAAAAATATGATGTAGCCCCTAAACGCCTTGACTGACTAACTAGAACAAGCAAGCTGCTAACCGCTACTGACCGCCGTTACTGGAGGCCAAAATGGACCTTAATGTGGTGGTATGTGCCAACCTCGCACACATCTTCTAGCAGTCCCATATCTTTCTACATAAGTTTTGTTTATAGTGATGTCCCTATCATCTACCGTGTATCGTGTGCAAGTACAGGAACCACAAAAGTTCAGGTCCTGACCACAGATCATCATCACATATTCTAGTAGTTGAAACTATGGACAAAGGTGAATCTATATTTAATGTAATAAGGTCTATATTTCACTAAAAACACATAATAGAATTCACCAAAGCCATTTCCGCCGTAATAATAAAAATCAATTAAGTTTCAATTTCAATAGCTTCTTAAAAACGGTTTATTACAGACAATGAAATTGGTATTTCGGGATTGTAGATAGAAACTTTGCGGTTTTACAGCGGTGATTCGTTTTCTATTGAACTATTTTTTTTATTTTCGCAAAGCGGATTACTTTTTTAACATTTTTTTTTGTTGATGTGATGTACTTTGTAGGTAGATAACAATTGTTGTGGAAGATTATGATCGAAAGATGCTACGCTATATAAATTTTTGAAAATTGCATTTAAGTTTTTGACGACTACTTGTTTAAAAACTCAAGAAGCAGCCACTAAGGAGCCCCTTACTCGCGACGTTTGATCATGTTTTGGACATTGACTAATCAAATTCAATGATATTCAATAGACACGCTGTAGATGTATTGTAATACCAAGTGATGGAACGAATAAGCTGTGCAGTGCGCCTAGTGGTAAGCGACACGCCTGTTCATAACAGTTGCAGAATCGCTCAGAGTTGTAAATCACAAAGAGCTGCGGTGCACTGCCACTGCACCCGTGAGACATAATTAGACAAATCCAATGTGCCTGTAATTTCACCAGCACCCCTCCCCTTCAAAACCGGAACGCAGTAATGCTCACATTACTGCTTGGTGACAGTACTTCCCTGGACAAACTATTTCACAAGAAACTCTGTTTATTTAAATATAGACGTTACTGTTTTATATTCTCACTTCTTTTTGTTCCGCTAAATATGCTGGTTTGTGTAAATCCCATACACGCCCGAGTTTATGCAATTTTTTTAAAGACAATTGATATTTTCTATAAATCCCAATCAAATCTGATCCTAAACCAATGAATTTCTTGGATTAACTGGTAATATATAACATAACACAAATATTCATTGGGCTCAACGCGCGGCCTGGACACCAATCTTACTCAGTTCCTGTATATAATAGTGAGTAGGTACAATAGGTTATAGAAAGAAAGATAATATATAGAAATATATAGAAATATATAGAAAGATGAATACAATAGGTTATATAAAGAATGTCCGTAGCCTGGGCGAAGGAAAATATTCTGGAAAAATCTGTATGGTATGCTCAGTATTCCTTAGATGGTGAACAAAAGTCATTAGCCATATGAAGTTTTCATACAAAATCGGCTTATATGATGGGTTATGGCCGTATACTTAGCGGATGTATTCTGATTGTAAAAGAAGGATGTTGAAGGTACATAAGGTTGTAAAAAAAAAGAATATAACCGAAACATAGTGTAATTCAAATCATGATACCTACTGAACAACTTTCCTTATTCAATCCATTAGTTTCAAAAGTCTTTTTGCGTATTGGATATGGGCTGAATAGAGAAAAGTTCTTCGAAATAATGGGTTGAGAAGCACTTAAAATCTCTTTCGTACTTTTCGTACAATTAATTGTAAACGTGACCGTTAAACACCCAATCAACTTCCAGCGTCCAATATTTATTTCCGATATATATTTTATTTTATATATTATATATTTTATTATATATAAATATTTTACGCCGATTCTTCAATTACTAAATTGTAACTTTCTTTTGTCACAGACGAACTAATGCACAGTGCTGCAATGGGCGGCGGTGCGCTCTTCGGAGTGTCATCAGCGGGACACAGCGGGGTCAACCAGCTGGGTGGGGTGTACGTTAACGGACGGCCGTTACCTGACAGCACGAGGCAGAAGATCGTGGAGCTGGCGCACTCTGGCGCCCGACCGTGTGACATCAGCCGAATACTGCAAGTCTCTAATGGCTGCGTCTCCAAAATCCTTGGCAGGTGAGAATTGACACCTTTTATTTATTTACTTTTCGACACAATCACTTAAATTACAGTGCAGAAATTTGAATTTTGATAAAAGCGAGAACACGTGATTGCAATGTATAGTTTGCGTACATCATCATTGACTATATAAAAATAAGAAATATTTTGCAATAGAAATCCAATATTTTAATTAAATAATTCTCAATTTAACTAGGCTCTAATATGATATCTGGATAATTTTCAGGTTAGATCTCTACCTAATTTCGCTGGAAATTTCTTTTATGAAGCATTATTTAGTGTTTGATAGTAAGTATACTCAAATAATTAAATAATAAAATTTGCCACTGAAATTAGGCAGAGAAAACTAACTTGAAAATTATCCCTCTACTGTTATTTACCAGAAATTACGTTATTAATTCTAGACTGCGCTTGTTCAAAAGAGACCTGTGTGTGTATAAAGACTTCAAGTATTGGTTCAGAACTTATCAGTGTTGAAAGCTTAAATGAGTTGCGTATTATTTACGTTGAAATAAATTCTTAGATCTCTTAAAGAGACTATATTGTCACAAGCATCGAAGCAGCGCCTATAACAATAAAATGGAGTACTATTACCAAAGTACACGAATAAACGAATTATTTAGCACAAAACGCATTGTCAGACGACAAAAGTTGAATCGATTATGAGCATTAAAAGATGGGGTCAAAAACTCGACACGCGTTGCCAAATTGATGGAATTCCCATAGAACCGTCCAAGGAACCGCACAATGGTCCCAACAATACTTGTCGCGGACAAAATTAAGGAATATTTCAATGACTTAATCAATACAATAGTACGAGTTTGCATTCCCATAGTGTATTGTTTTTGGTGAATGACGTACGCGGCAGGGTGTTAGGTGGGAATCGACATCGGGTGCCGCGTATGGGGTGCCTCCAGTGTCGACGGCAATTTTATTGTTTGATTGCGATTTTATCATGGAGATCAAGGAGGATTTTGACCCTCTTGATTATGTCGAAAGCGCCCGAACGCTATGAGTGAGCGAATTTTGCGTTAATGAAAAATTTCGCGCAAAAGAAAAAATAATTTGGGATTTTAAAACGCAAGAAGTGAACATTTTAATGTTCTTTTTATCAAAGTTTATAAGGATTCTAATTGTCGTAAAAGGCTTAAAGCAATTCTTAGAAAATAATAATAATAACAACTACGGATATAACAATAAAGACAAAAGAGTCAAAAGTCAATTTTAAACAATAAAAAATGTTAAAGACGTCAATCAAAGAAACTAGAGCTATTTTAATATGGGGTGTACCTTTCAGGGCTGTCCCACGACCGCCCCTAAATAAAAATCAAAATACAACATTATTTTTCTAGTAATTGGCGCCCCTACTGGGGAAACTGCTTGACGTCGCTTCAAGAGATCTTATAGGAAAGTGAGTTTTGCCTGGGGGACTGTGTAATATTGCCCTCTGGGCGCCTGTTATTATTTTGTAATGTTTTGCTCGTAAAGATATTAGGGCAGCAAGTTGAATTTCACTCGAGAGTCCTTAGAATTGAGCATAAAATAAAAGGGACACATGTTGCAAAAATATGGTGCTTCGTAAATTATTTTTAATTTATGTCAAACATTAAATCAATTTTGTTAATAACAGAGGTCTAGTATCATAGAAGTTCTTTCTACGACAACCGTATCCGTATCTTTACTGTATAGCTTTATTTTTTTTATATAAATAAATAATTCTCAAGATTCACTTTAGTAGCAATAGAGCCCCTTGGTGAAAGAATTTGTCCAGAGAAATACTGCCACCATACCTACTTCTGCCGTTAAGCAGTAATGTATGTCACGGTTTTGAAGGGTGCTGGTGAAACTACAACTACAAGAACTACAGGACTTATCAACTTTATATCTCAGGGAGACAGGCGCAATGACTGTGCCCCTCAGATCTTTGCTATTTAACGCTTTAAGTGGCACTGCAAGTGTTATGGTGTATGACTTGTTCTTGTCGTTATTTGATAATCATAAAAAAACGACATTTATTATTTGTCTTGAGAATTATAGAAAGGTATATACGTAATGTATCATCTTTTCTTATGATAGATAGAATATGGTGAATATGGTGAACGAATATGATAGATAGAATATGAAATATTTTCGCTCACAAAGGATTGTGAGCGAAAATATTTTCAAAACATTAAGTAAATTCACCCTCAATGGAAACAAATATACAACGAACTAATAATGCAAAACAAATTCGAACGATATCACCTAGTCGATAGACGGCTGCAAGTGCGATGTAAAGCATTTTTCCCATACACCCCAAAACATTCTTATCTTGCCAATTACGTGAGGAAAGGGGTCCAGAAGTGTTCCTTGGGGCTCATAGTAAAGGGCAAGCGTGGCAGGACTCCTAATTAAGGAGGGTCCCCGCTGTTAGCTCGCGCAATTCCTGATACCGACTTAACTCTTTGGGAAAAACTGTTGGATCCATTAAGTGCTTTTTGATTATTATTTTTGAGTAAACGATAAAGGTGATCAAACGCGATTATTATTTTTTATCATATGACCTTGAAGTAATGACGTCGATAATGATGATGAAAGTTTTTATGGTGCCAAATGACGAGACGAATAAGTCGTGCGCCTGGTGGTAAGCGACAAGCCTGTCCTTAGCAGTTCCAGCGCCACTCAGAGCTTCAAAACGCAAGAATCTGACTCCCACTGCGCCCGTCACCATGAGACATAAATTGACAAGTCCCAAATACCTGCAATTTCACCAGCACCTTTATTTACCCTTCAAAATCGGAACACAGTAATGTTCACATTATTGCTTTCAGCAGAAATAGATAAGGAGACATTACTTCCCTGGAAGAACTCATTCACAAGTAGCTAGAAAATCAAACAAATGTAAAAAGTGTATTGGATAAATTTGACGTTCTTTCCAGAATGGTGTTTGAAGAAATGTGAAAAGACGCTCTGTAAAGAAACATTACGATCTGTCTGGTAGTAACATAGCAGAAAATTATACTAATTTACTGAAATCTCCAACAGAAAACCCTATTAATATACAATAAAAAAGTAATCAACAAAGCCGGCTAAATTACTTACATAAAATAACCACTTCAAAAACAATCTTAGATAAGTATCCCATCAGATTTAGCCCCCGGAAAAATGCCGATCTGCATCCAATCAATGCCCCTAATGCTCAAATAATAGAGGCGTTATAGAAGGGACCTATAGCAGCAAAAATGATGTAAATAGTTGTGAACAATTCCATGCCAATAAAGTCCATGCCGAAATTTATGGCAAAAACCAAACAAACACCTAGCTTTAAGTAAGACAGACACTATCTTATGATATTTTCAAATTCAAATTCAAATACTTTATTTCGGATTATTCATTCATATTCATCCATATCCATATACTAATAGTGTATCTAACATACATAGCAAATTATATAGATATATGTAACAAAGAAAAAACTGACACACTAATGTTAGTAATTATAACTTATAAATATGTACTGGGTACATGAAGTTTGGTCCAGTGTTTAAGAAATAAAACCTGGACCCTGCCAGCAATAATACTCACGATGCCGTTACGGCTGCCACGCACTGTGCGCATCAAGGATGCCGCTTTCTTTCTGACGATGGCGGCAAATCCATCTACATAAGCATTCCAGACGCGCTACAGAATCGTGGCAGCTGCAACAGCATCCTGAATATAATAGCCCTTTCGGACCGGCTCCGAAATTACTTGAAATTACTCCGAAAAAAACTTGTATCTACCTGAAATTGTGACTTGTGACAAATCTGAGGTCAATTCCTATTTTCCGGCCGCCATCTTCGAAAATTTTGACCCACACAATTGTAATAACTTCGACCCTATTTAACAGGTGCATAATTGTGTAGGAACACGATTGTATTTGGATGGGCTTTTAATATGTAATTGAATAAAATACAACAACTATAATTTTGTTGTAATTATTATTTATTTGGTGAATAAAACTTAAGACATGTCTTACATGCAAAACCAACTAACAGTCTTAAAATGTTTTCTAATAGTACTTTTTATCATAATAAGTCTCACCGTGTAGTCTGGTGTAAAATATTTCTCAAAATATTGGGCGAGTGTTCCTACCGAATTCACATTAGGGAAAGAATCCTCTGGCATGGACGCTTCTTCTTCTTCCATTGGGGCGTGTTTAGAGATACGTCATCAACACACTCGTCTTCCGATTTTGAGGATGAGCACTCCTCAGCATCACGACGTTCCGTTCCGAGTTTTTGTTTCAGTTGTCGAAATCGTCTTCATATCTGCCCTCATTATCGGACCCGCGTAACAAACTTCAATTTCTTAATTTGATAATTTACGTGTCATGCGGAAATATCCCGAAAAAACCGAGAAAAGCGTAAAAAAAGTAAGTACGTAAGTTGTACTTGGGCGCCGGTCATAACAATTGTCGTAACAAGTGTTGCAAAAGATCGTCAATATTTTTTTGGAAGCTAGATAGTTATTAGCATGATGTTTTGATTTAATTACATGAAATCTTTAATGTATTATTACGTTTAGATGTTAAAAAACAGTGTTTCAAACGTAAAAGCATAAATAGATACTCACGATCTAAAAAGGTGGGTCCGCTAAAATCCGTCCTAAATTCAATTCAATTCTTTATTGCATTTACCATGAAATGAAATGATGTGTTGGTGTTCGCAAGGCGACTAGTCGATGCACTAATTTTAAATGCAAGGTAAAAGTTTGTCTAACGCGAAATCGTGCGACGATAAACCAATCAGTCCTGTATGGCCGGATTCCGTAAGGCTGTCTACGACTCTTAGACAGCTGAGAGCAAGTGTAGTCACCCATAGGCTGCAGTTGTAAAAGGTCTGGCAATAAGCTTTAAATAGCAATAACTTTACGTCGTAAGTACACCTTACAAAACTACGGGTCAACATGTTGCACTTAATTGAAATCGGATTTTGTGTGAGAGCAATACTGGTCTCTTTTATAGCGTCTGAGAGCCT